AAAAATCTCAGTTCTCCAACATAAAATGGAAGCAAAACCACTGCCCTCCATCACAGGAAATTTTCATTTGTTACAGAATGTAGGAATACTTAGGTACAAACACATCCTACAAGATTGTTTCCTGAGAGAATAGCTTGAGCATAAAACCAGAAAAAAACATTGTTCTTATGTGTTCTGTTAAATAACACTACAGATGTTTTCTCTTGATATGTTCAACATCGTGGACACCAAAAATTACCTTTATTTCATGCTTAGAAGACTAAGACTCAGATGTTGATACTTAAGAGTACATGAGGCTCAGTCCATATAAATTTATTCTCCTTCTGGCTGAGTGTTGATATGAAAATATTTATTTGACCTTCGCCCTAGTACTTCTAAATATATTTTAAATCTTTAATCTCCATTCTCTTATTTAGATTTACTTCATTCCTTTCAGATGTACATCAATAAAATAAGCCATCCTTCCTCACAAAAATGATTGCAAGTATCTGACCATTGCACTCATTCACAATAAATGATCTTACCTGAATATATTTCTCCAGGATCATTTACACATGATACTTAGACTGCAAATATATATATATATATATAAAAAAATATAAAATATACATATTGTCCCCAACCCAAAAAAAAATATCTGCAGAAAGGCAAGAGCAAAGGTCAAACAAGATTGTTCCAAACTGTTTTATAATTATGCTGTATATAATATGTATATACTGTATATAACATACAATTATACTGTAATATAATTCCAGTTATATTACACAGTGCAAGGATCAGGTGCCTAAGGACTGTCCTGTACCTGGGTGCTGGCAGCACACAAAAGAACACCACAGATTATTTACTGACACATCTATGAGAACTGCAGGAAGATAAGGAGATTAAATCCATCTTTTTCCAACAAAAAAGTTCTCTGTTGTCTGAAACCCCCCAAAATATAATTACAGGTTGTTCTCTAATGTCCTCCTACAGTGTCCTCCAACACTCAGAGCAGGGTATGGGCACGGCAATCACACCTGTGGGCAGCATTTATGCCAACTCTGAAATCCTCAAAACTAATACCTGCTCTGGAAATTTGATTTTCTCCATAACAGCAGTATAGGTAGATTGACAGAAGCAACGGTGTGTTAATAAACCAGATGGACTTTCAAATACCCAACACCCAAAAACCAGCCCAGTGGACGAGTGGTGTGGATAAAACCCCTCACAGTGGTATTTCCAAGCAGTGAGTGGGATATAAAGCCTCAAATAGAGGTCTAAAGATGTCATATGTGAATAATCTATGCAGGACTGACTCAGCCCTCCTGACAATAACACATTCAAAGGCAGAAATATCCTCAAAATCACATTGGAGATTTTCAGGAAAGAGCTGAGGAGTAAAGATTGAGAACACTTGCATTCTTCCTTCCTCTTGTGAATGCATTATAGATGAATGTCAGCCTTCAGCATATCAATCACAGCACCATTCACGGGGTTTAGATTGATCTAAGAACACCTAAAAGTTATTTTTAAAGGGCAGTGTGGAGTCAAGCTCTGTGGGTTATACCACAAAAAATAAAGGCACCAATGCAACGCCTGTGCCACAAGGGAGGTGCTTGCTGAGGCTTCACCTCTCTTTTGGCAATGGGACAAAAGAGATCAAAGAATATCTAAGTTTATATTAATGCTATTAGTTCATATGAAAGTGTCTTCAGTGTTACCCATAGATCATTAACAATGCTGAGTTCACGGTCGTTACTTTTATAAACAACCACATTTAAATTATTTATCACGAGCACTGGGGAACATCAGAAATGTCTTAATGCTGAAAGTGACTTTGGAGTTGGTGTGCCTGCTTTTCAAATCAATGGAAAATACAATGAATCTTATTTTAAATATCCTACAGTATTACCCTAAAAACGTTCCTGCAGACTATGCTCCATCTCTGTGCTACAGCAGAAAGAAATAACTCAAGAAAAAGTTACTTAACTATCTTATGTACAGATACTACCTTGGAGTCACACCCCTACATCACTCCAACTCATCAGCCCCACAACAGAGATTGCTCAGACATTGTCCTAAATCTCTGTTTGTCTTAATGCCTTCAGTGCCTGAGCACAGGATGGCATCACATCCTTGAGGGGCTCTAAGCCACTTAAGTTTGTAGCAGGCTTTTAAAGCACATTTTTTTTATCATGTTTAATAGACATGACTGGAAAATACCACACTTGTGAAAGAGAAATAAACCATGTACAACCAAAAGGCAGAACAACTGACCAGGCAAAAACATAAAAGATATATTTGAGCTCAGCTTGAATACAATACAAAACATTGAAGAGGATAAACCACCACCTCACTCTTGTGTAATTAAGAGTGTCCCAAAAAGTTCACAGTATGTTATTCACGTGTTATTCCTGCAATGTGCTGGGTGCTGTTGACATTCCCTACTCTGAGGGAATGTTACCTGCTTCTGCATAGGTATTTTGAGAGAATCTCACAAATGGGAGTGTGCAGAACAGACTGGAAGAAAAGGGAATAGGTTGGGAAAATCAAAGGTTGGAATAACTGGATTTGTCAAGGCCAGACTAGGAACAGTCTGGATGGTTACACAGAGGAAGGTACTGCCACATTCTCAGGCTGTCATATTTAATAAAAAGCTAAAATTCCCCCTCCCCTTTTCTCTCCCTGCCTGTTCTGGTTTCCATTCACACATCTGTAAGTCAATAAAATGGACTCATAATAGGAAATAATTTTATCACTTAGATGTGGCATGTAAATATTGCCCTCTCTGCAAACATGTGTATAATGGGCTACGATGCAATTAAAGAAACCAGAGTGAATATTTATAAAAAATCTCTACCAATTTTACATACAGATGCATTTGCTGGCAAAGGCATTATTCACTGAATGCAGTTAAACTGCAGTAAATCGACTTTGAGAAAAATCACAAGACTTTTCAATAAAAAGACAAAATAGCAACACTGTTAAGACAGCAGGTGGTAAAACGAGATACAGGAATGTTCCCCCATATAAAGAAATAAAACAAAACAGAGCTGTGTGATTTTACTGCTCTTTTCCAGCAGAAAAACATCCCTAAAGGACTCAGAAAATAGGCTCCTAAATTTGCTCATATGGAGTACCAGAGATTGAAAGGGAAACTTTGAAATACATTACTCAGGAAAACTAGAGAATGGATGGTGCAAGTCTTAAAGAGCAGACTTTTTTCCTGAGCCTGTCAATGCAATTTGGGGGAAAGCTGTGACATAGGCTGGACCACCAAGCCATGCAGGATATTTCATTAAATCCAGCAGTTTACCTCTGAGCAATTTGCTCCTGAATACATCCTTCAAAAGCACTAAGAACCTGTCAGCGAGGCACAGAAGCCCAGGTCACTTGCAAAGAAGGAAGAAGAGGTTTTTAAAATACCAGGCATGGAAAAAGCTTCCAAGGTCTCTTGTGAAAACTGGAGGTAAAAGCCTGAAGATCCCACAGGGAGGTAATGGATACCTGCTGGATACCACTGCAAAGCAGGACCCACTGTTCTTCTAAGTGATTCTAGTTGCTGCTCTCAGCTGAGAAGCCTGGCAGGAGGAGTGGCAGGATGAGGGGAAGGATGAATGGCCAACTGGCACTTTTGCCACTGACAGATAAGGCAGTGCCAGCTCAGAAGGGAACTTTGCTAATCTGTGCTGGTGTCTTTCTCCATGTACAAATTCACCCCGATGGAAGAGAGCGACGAAGCACAGACCTCTAAGCCATGTTCCCACAGTCAGGGAGTGACCTGCAGTGGAGTGTCCCAGTCCAGCATCTCATCATTAAGAGCAGGGCCCAGCTCAGAGTCAGCCAGAAATGTTTTTTCTAATCCACAGGTTCCTGGGCAGCTCCCTGCCCCCAGATGAGCAGGGAAGTGACTGCACCCCTGTACTGGGCACTGGTGAGGCTGCACCTTGAGTGCTGAGTCCAGTTCTGGGCTCCTCACTGTGAGAAAGACATCGAGAGGCTGGACAGAGTCCAGAGAAGGGAACAGAGCTGGGGAAGGGGCTGGAGCACCAGAAGCTGCTGAGGGAGCTGGGGGGGCTCAGACTGGAGAAAAGGAGGCTCAGGGGGGACCTTCTGGCTCTGCAACTCCCTGACAGGAGGGGGGAGCTGGGGGGGGGGGTCAGGCTCTGCTCCCAGAAAACAAGAGATAGACAAGAGGAAATGGTCTCAAGTTGCAGCAGGGGATGCTCAGGTTGGACATCAGGAAGAATTTCTTCATAGAAAGGGTTGTCAAGCACTGGACCAGGCTGCCCAGGGAGGCTGTGGAGTCTCCATCCCTGAAGGTGTCCAAGGAACAATGGGACGTGGCACTCAGTGCTCTGGTCTAGTTTACAAGGTGGTGATTGGTCAAAGCTTTCCCAACTTAAATGATTCCGTGGTTGTGTAATTCTGTAAATCTCCTGCTCTGTCAGCAGGACCTGCTTACCCACACTAGCAAAGCCTCACTAAATCACAACTCCTTTTCTCTGCACCAGATTCATTCCTTCACTGTACAACCAGCCCAGCTGGATTATGTATGTGAGAAGTGAGGTCAGACCCAGAAACTGCACAAATGCATCTGCAAGCACTGAAGACAGTTCAGGCATTCCTACAGTAGTTACAAGCAGGCCTTGTTCACCATGGAAGAGAGGGCAGGATGAAGACCTGGAGCCTCCTCCACCTTCCCACAGCACCACTCGGTACCCAGCTCCATGTCCTGCTGTGCTCCAGCGCTGCAGAGGCATCTGAAGTGCTGCTGAGAGGGTAATAACCCTGCACAGTGCCAGCAGCAATCCTTCCTGGAGGTTAACAGCAGGAGGCAAGGAGGCTGAGGCATTTATAAAAGGAGACTGTGAAAGGCAGAATCAACAGCCGAGTTGGCCTTTTAGTCAGCGCTGGCTTTCAGCAGCTCCATTATCAGAGGAGAACGAGAGAGGCGTGAGGGAAGCCTGGGGAGGAAGGAGAGGGGGGGGAGCTGTGAAGAGAGAAGACAAAACACCCACCTGACAGGTGCTCCCCGGGACTGGGCAGGCTTCAGCATCACGGTGATGGTGGTGTCGGTCTCGTTCAGGGGCGAGTCCGTGTCGTACTCCGGCATCGACGGCGCTGCAGCAGAGCAGGGACACGTTAGGAACACACCACTCACTCACTTATGTTAACACTTCTTGGAGACCATTTCACATTTCTCAAATGAAATATCAAAATACTCCCCGGTGTTACGACCAGAGTTATCAAAACTGCTTAAATATTTGGACACTCTTTTTCTCTTCAAATTAAATGGGAATTGGCCCCCCCCGGATGTTCAAGTTGGCTTTGAAAATCCTGCCTTGAATTTTTAAGATTTAGTAATGCTTTGAGGTGGGATCATTCCTTCCATTTTATAGGGGAAGAAAGAAAAATGGACACGACAAAAAAAAACCCACTCAAGGTGAGTGAGTCAGTGGCAGAGCTGAGGAAAGCACTCAGGAATCCTGAATCTTTGCTGGTCAGTGGATTAGCCTTCTCACATCTTAAGAGTTCTTAATACAGAGACTTAAGTTGTGTCCCCTTGATTAGCTGGAGGGTGTGTTATGGAGCACAAAAGATGAAAAGAGAGCAGCACAGATTAGCCAGGTTATTTTTGCACCCAAACCCACGACATTTTACCCCAGTGCTTTAGTGATGCTGACTCAACAGGCAGCTGCACAGATTCCAGGGCTGCCCTCAGGCAGTTCCCAGCCATGGCATCCCCATCCCTTCCCTGCCATGTTTTCCAAAGCAATACAGAAACCCAAGGAATATTCACACTCAGCCAAACTTTAGTTTCTACTTCTGCTTTGTTATCTTCTCTTAGGATCATTCCATGAAAGTAGAAGTTTTCCTCAGGAAATATATTTTACTTATTACTTTTTCCTTCCTATTTGGGACAAATTTATCTATTTGGGACAAATTCATCTATTTGGGACAAATTTTACTGTGTAAGAACTGAACAGATCACAAAGTCAGAGCAGTATCAAGTCTGTTCCAAAGAAGCAAGTTTGGTTCAAATATCTTTAAAGTACAAAGCAAACAGAAGAATTCACACAAATAGTTCACCTGTAACTCACAAGGGCAGGCTGCACTGTGGGGGATCCCATATTTAATCCTCTCATGGTGATTTCCACTGTAATCCTGTTTACAATCAGGATTTTTATCTAAATGCCTGAAAACTGTCAAGAATGGGGCTGCTATTATCAGCTCAGCTACTGACTTCCCTGTCAATAAGCCAGGGAAGAATGAATGCCAACTCCTTCAGGAGGATTTCTCTGAAATAAGGTGCTCTGCATCAAGGGGAAGCAGTGAGACATTTAAAGAAGACACATATCACCAGTGGTCTTCTATACCAGAGATCACTGCAGATGCTGGAGATCACAGACTGATTTGGGTTGGAAGGGAACTCAAAGATCCTTTGTTTCAACCCCCTGCCATGGGCAGGGACACCTTCCACTAGCCCAGGTTGCTCCAAGCCCCATCCAACCTGGTCTTGGACACTTCCAGGGATCCAGGGGCAGCCACAGCTTCTCTGGGCAACCTGTGCCAGGGGCTCATCACCCTCACAATGAAGAATTCCTTCCCAATATCCCATCTAACCCTGCCCTCTGGCAGTGGGATGCCATTCCCTTTTGTCCTGGTACTCCAGATCCTTGTCCAAAGTCCCTCTCCAGCTCTCTTGGAGCCCCTTTAGGCACTGGAAGGCCACAATAAGGTCACCCCGAGGCCTTCTCCAGGCTGACCACCCCCAGTTCTTGCCAGGTCCAGCTAAGGGTATGAAGTATAAATAATCCAGTGATCCTGGTCTGTGTTAGTCACAGGACAGCAGAATAAGATACAGTAGTTTTCTTTTGTGCTCCACACAAAACAGGTGTGTAGCACCTCACTCAAACCACATTTGGCAGAGATGTCTCCAAAACAGCAAGCCCTGCTCATCAGAGGAATGCCTGTTTTCCTGCCCAAAGAAAAGTCCTGAGGAATTCTGCTATTCAGTTGGGATTGAGATGTAAACAAATGTGTCCACCCATAGAAACAAATATGCTCACACATTGCTACAGCACAGATGTCTTTTCGTTTTCAAACACATACAGACTTACAAGGACATTCCAGTCAGTGCAAAAATCCTTCTTCTCCCCAATAACCTGGAGACTGCCTTTTAGAGCAAGTTGAACAGTCATTTCCAAATTACTTGGAAAATGCAAATGTCACAAACTTGACCAGGCAATGAGACAATCCAATGTCAGAGACTGTCCTAATGCTTGCATGGAGTTTGCACCCAGCTATTGTGAACCAGGTATTTCAAAGGTGGCAGGAAAAAAAGACAATAAACCAAGTGTGCATACATACAGGTAGTAGTCATGCAGGCTTCCAACACAACTTGAGCACTCATGGAATAATAAAATTCAAAGAAAGAGAATCAGAGGGGAAAAGCACTATCATTGTTGAGCTATTTTACTTCTCTGGTCACAAAGGAACAGAGTGCACACCGTGCTGTCCCTTCACAGCAGGGCTGCACAAACCCCAACAGTCTGTGGAGCTTTTTGGACACTTAATGGCTTTACTTCAAGTGGTTTAGGGCTTTTGGACTAAATGTTAAGGGTTCAAACCCTGCAGATGGCCAGCAGAAGAAAGGGATGCATTTTACTTCCTTCAAGTTTACCCTGTCACTTACTGCTCACAATTTGCTTTTATTAACCAATTTTGAAAAAGGGCAGTGGAAAACACATGCTGTTGTGCCCTCCTTCCTACAGCACTCAGCCCTAATTTCAAGCATTCCAAGTGTCCTGCCCAAATGTTTATTTTGGCTTTACTGAAAAAAACCAGTTAAGGTAGTTAAAAAAAAAGCCAGTGCTTCTCTCTGTTAGAAAAGCTGTTTTAGTGCTATCAACTACATGTTAAAATTAAAATCTACATATATCTGCCCAATATCACCTCTACCATCCCTTTTTTGATAACTAGCATAAGTCTCCTCTTTTGTTTTTTCACAAGTTCTCTTTGCAATGCCTCCTTATTTTAGTGCCTTTCATATTCTTGTCTGCCTACCTCGAGCCCTCCCTCTGCTCTTACTCATAAAAACCCCAATGAAAACAGCTTTCCTCCTTTATTTTTAGTCTCTTTGCACTATTAATTCCATTACTTCATTACATCCATCTTGGTGCATTCTGAAAATAAAAACCACATTACTGAAGGAGCTTCCCCATCCAGGCAGATAATGCTGACAATAATTATTATAGAGGTAGTTCATTTGTACAACTAATGATGATTCTCATTTAAAACGCTCCACAAAGACATTCATGGCTATTTAAGATACCCACAAATTAACCACTGCATTTGTTACCAGATCAAACACAGGTTTAAAAATCTGCCCTATGAAATTGGGAGAGACACTGAGCTGAATATTTTTTATTGGTTTATGCATCAGCTTTAGATCTAAAGAACAAAGCACTGGAAAGTAGTTTTTTTTTTTATTTCTTCAAAGCAGTACCTGAAATTTTAGTTGCAATCCGAGTGGTGATGGGTGGCCCAAAGCCCTTGACTGTGCTGGCTTTGATGGTGAAGGAATATGTGGTCCCTGGGTATAATCCTACAAACAGGTGGTGGGTCTCATTCCTCAGCTTGAAGACTTTCCCCCTTTGGCTGGACAGGTCAGCACTGGGATCCAGGGACCCAACGGCCTTGTATGTAATCTGCAAATGAAGAACAAGGAAAGGAAGGTGATAAGGGGCCTATTTTTGCTCCCCTGTTTGCCATCTCTTGAAATCAGACGTTGAAAACACAAGGACAGGGATAATTTCAGTATCTCTGGTGAGCGGCTCTGTATCTGCATCCCAACATGGCAATTTCACTTAGGGAAAAACTAATCTGTTCTCTCCACTCAAACATCAGCATGGGCTGATCTACAACAAAAGATGTAATGAACTCTTTTTTGTTCCAAATCTCAGAACTTCTGTAGTCAAATCAGAGCACACAGCACGACCAGCACAATTACCAGGAGAATTTCCCACACAATCCCCCACAGCATCTAAAAACCCTCGGTGCAAACATGGATACATTTTCCTTTGGAAAATCATCTTCAGCACATTTTCTTTTGGCAAATCATCTTCTCATAAGGCAGCTGAAAACAATGGCAGCAACAAAGGCTTTGAAAGTCTTTTCCTGTGCTGAGAGAACACGCTGAAATGAAACTGTACATTTAAATGAAATAAATATCACCAAGTCTTTAGACAAAAGCCTTTCTCTTCTCCTTTGTAAGCCAGCCACTGACATCCTTTCCCTCCCCTCATTCTGAGCCTTGGAGTGCAGATTTACACGTGGTTTACACCTGAAAGAATAAGCCAGGAGGGTTCTGGACCTGGAGAGGTGTCAGGAATACACCTGTAGCTGGTGCCAGCACACCTTGAGAGGAATCCACACTGCAAACACACCTTTGAAATCCTGCTCCAGCTCCATCATCCCACCCATGGAAACCCTCTGGATATACAGGCACTTGCAAGCAGAACTCATGACTTATTTACCAGCCAACTCCTTGCCTGCCTTCCAAATTCAATCCAAAGGCAGCTCGGTTTCAGTAGAGCTGTCAATATAATACACTGTGCTCTGCTGCTCTCCTAACCTTTCCTGATATTATGGGATCCTCACTTATTTGTAATGAAACACTATGAATAAATCAATGTATGTTAATACATGAAGTCTTCAATTTTTTATGAAGGTCTCCACAAGAATCTAATTCCCAGCTTTGCTTGAAAGAGCCTTTGAAAATTTTCAAGTTGCTTGTCTGGTGACAGGAGGAAAATGTTGCATTTTCAGGAAAAATAAATATCCAATGTTTAAAAAAGGGAGGTTTTAATAATAACGGGATAAATAAGAGACTGATGGTGCCAGCACAGTCAGATGCTGAAGGAACTCGGAAGGATAAAGAACAGGCACATTCCCACCAGCACAGGAGGGACAGAACACTGAGCCCAGGAGCCTTCAGCTGGACAGGAATCACATACTCAGGAGGATGATTCAAATCCCTGATCAGTTGTGCAAAATTTGGCTACATGAGTCCAAATTCTGTGTAAAATGTAAACCAAGTCAAGTACAGGTTCAAGTCTACAGGAAGCTATCAAAAAAGGCTTTATATGTTTAATTTCAAGGTGTTCAGTGATATATAATTGCTGTGATAGACTATGGGGAATCAAATAAGAACAGATCACTGTAAGAAATACAGTGACCAGTTCTTGCTCTCAGCAGTCAGCCTCGAGCTCTTCTTTGCCTCCCTCAAGAGGGGCTGAAGTGGGGAGGAAAGCACACACAGCCACTGCCAGGAGAGCCCATGGCCCATCTCTGTGATGACCCTTGTCATGACCACCATGAGCTGGGAGTCTCCACAATGCCATTTGTGACACATTTCTGTGGTTGAGGGACTGAATTTCTGTGCTTGCTGAGTGCTGATGGTCGAGCAGCAAAGCCCCGGGTGAAGCAGCTGAAGCTGCCCTGAACACAGAGCCCTCCACCTGGAAAAGGAGGTAAACCCTCTCCCAGCTCAGGGAAAATCATGACCATTTCTCTCTGCCAAGTGAGATACCTGCTGTTTCTTCGATATTAATGCTACCCTGAGTGTGGATTAACATCTGAGAGCTCTGTCTCAGTCTATCCCTCCACGGGCCTCCCAGCTGAGCTGCAGCAGCTGCCACTTCAGCTGCATCCCAGCTGCCCTTGCCAGCAGCATCTCCTGCAGTGGGGGATGGCTGCTCCCTCCTGCCCCAGCACAAATCCATGCTCTGCCAGCCTCAGGCTCCCCAGCCAGCTCTGCAGAACTCACAGTGTGCCACCATCACCTCCAGTCAGTGGTACTTCCTCACTGGAGTATTTGAGCTACTCATGATGGATCACGATATCACTCAGTATGGATCTGTGTGAATCCACGTCCCTGTGCCAGGAGATTTCTCCTATAGAAATAAAGATGCTGCAATACATCACTTATATGTTCTTTTTCACGTGTAAGTGTATCCTGCACCAAATTACAACCAGCTGAAAGGAAGACACTAAGAAATTGCCACTCCTCTTAACTGATTTAAACTAAATTTTCTGAAGCAAAGGAAACTGCGGGGAATTAGAGAGTGAAAAATTTTCAAGAAGAAACCATGGAAATTTCAAACTCTGGAGTCATTTATAAAAGCACAAAAACACGTCTGGAGAAGAAATACTTTCCTGGAACAAGACCACCTGCTCTTGTGGTTCCTATGCTGAGTATTTATCTTAATTTCTTGTTCCAAGTGTCAAAGCATTTCATTACAAAACAAACAAGAGATTCTAATCTAAAAAAATGAGATGACTCAATCGCTAGAAAGCAACTGTTCTAAATTATAATAAAAAAATCTATTTTAAAGACAAGCCATGTCATCTAATACTTGTGCTTTCTGGGGAAAAAAAAAAAGAAATAATATTAATAATTTAAATTACATTAATAAAAACCTACAAAGAAAACAAACAGGAAAATACTCAGAAATATATTTAAGAATATAATTCTGACTGGAAATATTGAAAATATTTATTTGCACTCTGATGTAGAATAAATGCAAATACAAAGATGAGGAAATTTCTCACAGGACTGAAACTCTATGTTTTTTAACCACCCTCCTGTTATCTCCTGCACACCAGGCGCTGTCTTAAGTGGAAAGTTGCCTTTCCTCTGCAAACTGGAATGTCTGTCCCATATTTACATATGGAATGGAGAGTTTTACATATTGGCTCCAGCGGAACTTGATGATCCCAAGGAAAGGTTTTAGTGGTCAACACTACAGTGGTTCCAAACACAGCAAAACCAGGCAAAGAAATACATATTAATAAATGCTAAATCTTCCTTGGAATCTCCTTCACGGAGTTAATGAAACACTTCTCAAACTGAAACAAAGAGAGAAGCAAATTTGGAGAAATCAGAAAGTCAGATGGTGAAGGAACTCGGAAGGATAAAGAACAGGCACATTCCCACCAGCACAGGAGGGACAGAACACTGAGCCCAGGAGCCTCCCAGCTGGACAGGAATCACACACTCAGGAGGAGCACAGAGGATTCAAATCCCTGTGCAAAATTTGTCTACATGAGTCCAAATTCCGTGTAAAACGTAAACCAAGTCAACAGTACAAGTTCAAGTCTACAGGAAGTTATCAAAAAAAGGCTTTATATGTTTAATTTCCAGGTGTTCAGTGATATATAATTGCTGTGATAGACTATGGGGAATCAAATAAGAACAGATCACTGTAAGAAATGGGATTGTTAGTGAGTTCACTGCTGGATCTTAATTATTTAAATCCTTTATACATCTATATAAATATGTGATACAGCATCCAACCTATGCCAGTGCCCCACTAACCAGAGGCATCTCCTCTTATTCCATCCTTCTTTCTGTTTTTCACCCATTTTAAACCTTGGAATATTAACTCCTTGAAATCACTGAGCTGTGTTAACCACCACATGGATGTAGATATAATATTGAGAGCATGAGCACAGCTCCTCTCTCCTTCACAGAGCCCAATTTAACACAATTTTCCAGGGAGATGGGAATGCTTTGCTAACTGTCATTGTCTGCAAAACTTCTCTTACAAGGGCTTATAAAACTTTCACGGGGAAGGGAGAGATCACAGCAGAGGAATTAACTAAACTAGGAAGCACAAGGTTATTTTCCACCGCAAATGTTTCTTCAGAAGAAAACACATAATTAAAAAAATAACAAAAATAATCCCCCCTTAACCCACTTGGGTTTTCCAAAACCCCAGAGGATTTCTTGCAACCACACAAGTCTGGTGAATTTTACTCCTTCTTTGCACAGAGGGGGAAGAGAGGGCTTTGTCCTGTGCTTTTTGAAATAAAATTATCAGCAGGTGTGGTTGAAAATTAGAGGTTAAAAGGATCCCTATACAAAAAGAGGGTTCGTATTGTTAAAAATGTGGTAATTAAACAGTGAAATGGACCATCAAGCAACGTGATAAATTACACTTTGGTTTTAGGAGTTCCTTAGGAAGGACATATTATGGCACAATCACAAGGCCACAAGCTTAATACAAGAACAAACTGTGATAAAGATCTCATCACTTCACTGAAATGGCCCTTCTTCCCCTCCACTACTAAAATCCTTTGGGAACCTTGGATGGCTGTTCAGATTCTCCTTAATCCTCTTAAGTAAATAAATTAACAAAACAGAATATTCCACTCAAACCACAGCTGATATATCCACTTAGCCTTCCCACACATTCGATGCATTCCAGTGAGCTTTCACACTGAGGGGGAACAGAGCTGTCAGGATTTGGTGTGTTCAGAACCCTAAAACTGAGGGCAGCAAACCCCAGTGTCTCAGGATTGAGAGCTTGCCAGTCAAGGCAAAAAAAAAAGATATGCTCCTGTATTTCTTCCCACAGCAGTTGATCCCAGTATGCAGAGCACTTCATCTTATATCTTTTGCCATATAGAATTAATCAACCCCAGCAAGTAGAATTTTGCTCTTTACAACCATATCCACCATCAACCATCAGGACTTTAAGCTTCCCCTCTGATTTTAGCAATTGCAGCCTGTTCCAATGCAAATGGTAAGAGCTGCTGTTAAATCACACACTACTTTGTGGATACATTATACAACCTTATATCTATTTTCCATTTTAGTGACAGCCTGCAGAGCAGTTTGGGGAAGGCATTTGAAACCTATAAA